GAATCCTTTGCAAAGGTCATGCCAGGCTCGCTGGCCAGGATGTCTTGGACAATCTTTTGAACGGTCGCTGGCGCGTATTAGCATTTACGGGGGATGCGAGTCTAGAAATTCCGACCTTTGGGCAGCGACAGGTCGTCGTTGCCGCCGAATTCGCGGTCAGACATGGTGGGTGGATGCGCGGCAGCGTGTGGTGTTGGCTTTGAGCTTCGGTACTGCGCGCGGTTGCAGCCCTGCTAAGTAAGAAATACAGAGAGGCCGGGGCACGGGCCGGCTGTTTGGCCGAAGACCCTTTGCCTAGGTATCTGGCATCATCGAGCGTTCACTGTGTAACTACGGCAGTCACCCAAAATACAGCCATGATGCACGAGGCTTACTGGGTAACGCGAGTTTGCGAAGAGTGATGTGTGTCTCTACCAAATCGCGCCCCGACGTTCCCCATTTTTATCTTATCCGCGTCATATCTTCCAAAAGGAGCAGACGTACAGCTTACTAACAGATCTAGGTGCAACCAGCAACAAAGGATATAGAGTTCTTCCTATCGACATGCTGGGCTGTGTTTGCTCGAGTCAGCCGCAGCCTTCACATGCGTGCAGTCACGGTACCGGTGTTGCTCGATAGCGACAGTGTATCCAGGGCGGCGGGCGCTATCGCAGTGCTATCGGGCCATATGTCGCTAACGTCGCAGTGGCATCACGGGTGGATCGTTGAGGCTTTTCTTCAAACGACAGGCTTGGAGCTTGATGCAGGCGCTGGCTTGAGCATTAATGTGAGGGTATTCGTGCTCCACCGGCGACGGGCGTGTGGAGGCGGTGATTGGCAGTGGTTGGGTCGCGTTCCGAGATCTTAGCCAGGGACTGTATCTCTTCCCGGCCGGTTTGGGCGATGCCGGCCCAGTGGCATGTCGGCAGAAGCAGAGGCAGTGGACCACTACGTCAGCGCGTTGCACCTGCTTGGCGCACACAAATGCATGGCCGCGCGAAGTGTGGTTTTGGTTGACCTGGTCATGCTGCTCGCCGAGACAGATGACAGTGGCGGTGAAAACCGGAGGAGCCTAGGGGACTGGAGGCGGCGCTGCTAGGTCGAGGGATGGTGCAATGCAATCGCGTTGAGAGGGATTGATACATAGCAAGGCCCGCAGTGAATTCCAGCGACAGTCAAGTCAGTGAGCTACACGGCGCCTGCCTATCTCGCCTGCCGGTGACGCTGCTATCATCCTCGAGTCGACGCCTACTGCTGCAGCGCCCCAGTGCTCCCACGGTCCCAGAGTACACGTCTACCCAGTACCGCTGTACACCGCCCGCAGCCCGCGCGCCTCAAGCCTGGAAGGACTCGGACTGCCTGCCCCGTTAAAGTCCTAGAGCAGAGTTTTCGCACAGTCGTTGCAGTGCGCTTGTTTAGGGCTAAGGCCGCTCGGAGCAGCCAGCCAGGACCCAAGTGATTATTATGACTTCACGCCCAACTGCGGACCCGGCAGACAGCTCGCTCTCGACCTCCCCCCAAAGCGACACGTACTCCAGCAGCCCGTCGCGCGCCAGCCTCAAGGAGACCGTCAAGATTGCTTCCACCCAAGGCCCCGCTGTCGATGCCAGCCAGCAACGTCCCGGACTAGTCTCTCGCGCCTCGGAGAGTTCAACCAGGACCATTCGACCCCGCCATCATCTACGCAACAAGAGCAGCAGTGTTGTTCCCACCGTCTCCACGCTCAACGTCGGCACCGCGCCCTCGACCCGCCAGTCCAAGTCGCACCCAAAATCAAACACCATGGCCCAGCACACCACGGGCACCTCGTCTGGCGCCGCCGACCTGCTTAGACAGGCCATGACACGGTAAGCGCATACTGACTGTCATGTTGATGCAACGCATTGCCACGCACCACACCACATCATCGCTTAGCTTGCAGCTGTGCAGAGTCCTGACGACGTGCACCCTCGCTCTTTCCCTACATTTTCTCTCACCACTCTCACACTCTCACGCTCCCACACTCACCGCCACTTTCCTGATGCCCTCGTCATCACTGCTAACGCCGCACAGAGCCACCAACGACAGCAACGAAGACGGACACGACCAGATCGGCTCCACCAGCTCCACGCCACCGGGTGCCACGACACCCAAGCCCGACCCGACGGACAAGCGACTGCCGGGTATTCTGCACAGTTACTTTGGCCAGGTTCGTGATTCTCTTATGCCCTCGCGGAAATCCTCCTCCACGGTCAACCCCTCCCCCGCACCCGTCACTTCTCAGGTCTCGGACCCCCGAGAGAAGGAGCAAGAGTCAACCACCCACCCCAGCATGCTGCCCAGCCCCGCCCCCAGTGCCTCTTCCCGAACTCCCTCAACCTCGCAGTTGGCTGGTGAAGCGGAGAAGCTAACGCAAGGCGACTTTGCGCCGTTGCAACAGGCTACACCTCCTCAGACACCGCGCACCCGCTCCCAAGAAGCAAAGCCCGTGCCCTCGAATCTATCCCGCACTTCAAATGCGTCCGACGAATCCAAGGAGAGCAAGACGGCTCCCGTAGTGGCGCCCAAGGGCAAGCTCTCAGTCACAATCTCCGAGGGACGGGGTCTGCGGCCCAGCACAGACCCCTACGTTGTCTGCCAGTTCCAATGGGCTGAGTACATCTCAGACGGGCCCAGGCACGATGAGTCGAAGCGACCGCCCATGCAGATGAAGCGAACCGAGAGCCAGATGGGCACTCCAATGGCCATTCCTATGAAGAGCCGACAGAGCAGCAACAGCGGCCACAGCTCAGATCCCAGGGAGAACGGCTCCCTGGAGGAAGTGACGAGCCCCAAGTGGGAGCACGAAGCCATGTTGTGAGTGGCTCCTTCTCTTCACCGTGTGGTGATGCTGACAATCGTAGTGACGTTGTGGGCGACCATGCCGAAATCGACGTCTCCGTTTACGACCGCGCCAACGGCGAGGCTTTCCTCGGCCACGTCCGCTTCTGCCCAAACCTCGTCGAATACAGCGAGCCATACGACGGCTGGTTCCCGCTAGAGCCCCGAGAGGGCGAGGGAGGTGTTGTTACCGGAGAGATTCACCTGAAGCTCAACTTCCAAAAGGTCGAGAAGAAGCACTACGGTCCCGAAGACTTTGAGATTCTCAAGCTCATCGGAAAGGGCACATTCGGCCAGGTCTTCCAAGTACGTAAGCGGGACACTCGCCGCATCTACGCCATGAAGGTGCTTTCGAAGAAGGTCATCGTGCAGAAGAAGGAGGTGGCACACACACTGGGAGAACGCAACATCCTCGTCCGAACGGCCATGGCTGATTCGGCATTCATCGTTGGACTCAAGTTCTCTTTCCAGACACCCTCAGATCTATACTTCGTTACTGACTACATGTCGGGAGGCGAACTCTTCTGGCATCTCCAGAGGGAAGGCCGCTTCCAGGAGGGTCGTGCCAAGTTCTACATTGCAGAGCTTATCCTTGCCCTGCAACATCTGCACGAGCACAACATCGTGTATCGCGATCTCAAGCCCGAGAACATCCTCTTGGACGCCAATGGCCACATCGCCCTTTGTGACTTCGGTCTGTCCAAGGCTAACCTCACCGAGAACGCCACCACCAACACATTCTGCGGAACCACAGAGTACCTCGCACCCGAGGTCCTTCTGGACGAACACGGTTACACCAAGATGGTCGATTTCTGGTCGCTCGGTGTGCTAGTCTTCGAGATGTGCTGTGGATGGAGTCCTTTCTACGCAGAAGACACCCAGCAAATGTACAAGAACATCGCGTTCGGAAAGGTCAGGTTCCCCCGGGACGCCCTCAGCACTGAAGGTAGGAATTTCGTCAAGGGACTTCTCAACAGGAACCCTAAGCACAGGCTTGGTGCCACACGCGATGCCGAGGAGCTCAAGGCTCACCCCTTCTTTGCCGACATCGACTGGGAGGCTCTGGGCAAGAAGAACGTGGTACCGCCATTCAAGCCCAAGCTCAAGGGAGAGCTCGACGTTTCCAACTTCGACCCCGAGTTTACTAATGCTCTCAACGGTGCTGGCTCTTTGAACGCCCGCGCGGCTGCCCTGGCCTCCGGAGTCAACCCCGCATCCACGCCACTGTCACCGACTATGCAAGCAAACTTTGCTGGCTTCACCTTTACCGACCAGAGTACAATGGAGCAGCAATTCGGAAACGACAGACAAAGGACCGACGCCCTGGAGCGAATGGACGAGGATGAGACGGACGAAGTCAACTGGGACCGACCTGCTGGACGCGGAGATAGGATGTCCGGTATCGTTCCCAGCAACGAGCACGACGTCTTCAACCAAGGCCAATTCGATGTATGATGAGCACATGCTCATACACGCAGCCTGCTCTTCTATACCTAGGTTCCTCCAGGACCTGACAAAAAGTTTCTGCTTTGTTCTATCTTACCGGTACATGGCGGTACTATTCGTATAGTCTTTTCTTGGATACCCGGAGCCTACCACACAGGACTTGGACTGCGTTCAAGTCCTTCACTAATTTGCCCCATCGGCTGCTGCTGTCACGACCTCACGCATGGTCATTACGATACAGCCTGTGCCGACAAGGACCTGACACAGCGTCCGACTGATTACGATTACAAGATTTCCCAGAATGAGTTCAAGTTGCTGCGGTCTCCCACGCTACAGTAAACACGATGTTTTCTTTGCTGGGCTATGGGTTTGCATTGCGCTGGTGCATTGCTTTCGCTTTTTCATCCAATGTGGGAGTTCTTAATGGCACTATGTCGAGTTCAGGCTGTTTTTTTCCGTTCTTTGTGCATTATGCGCGCGTATCTGCACGGGTTTTTCTCTTTTCTTCTTTTTGCGAGTTCGGCATATATCTAACGACATGGATTCATACGCATCGTTATATCGAGTGGATATGGATCGAGTGGTATGATGGATATGGGCGAGCCTTTTTGTACATAAAGATATGAGACATCAAGTTTACTTGTTCACATCGTCATCCTGGTGGCACACTTACTATTGATGTCATGAACACGTCTTTGCGCGTTTTTTTGTTCGCTCTATGCTAACCACCTCTTACCCGCTGTCGCTTCCTCTCCAGGCTCATCCCATACCTCCATCATATCCAACCACTCCAGTGCGAACGCACCCACAATCCTCGCCCAATCCCTCACCGTCGCCCCATCCAAATGCTCTCCATCATCCTCCATCGTATGCCACACACCCGGAAACGGACTAGGTATCACATGCAATATCTCCACGCCCTTTGCCATAAACGGCAGATGATCGTCTGATATCCCTCCATGCCCCATTGTCCCATTTACATCTGGTAAGAAGGGTGTGGATGGAGATGATTCTAGGAGGTTCAGACTGCGTAACCGGGACTCAATGGTTGAGAGGTGTACGTAGGCCCAGTGAGTGGTGGGAAAGTAGGATGGGACGAGTGGGTCTGCGGAACCGAGCAGGTCAAGGAGAAGGAAGAGGCTGATTTGCGAGAGGGGAGTGCGGTTTTGGTAGAATTTTGAGGCGGGAGAGGGGGGGTTGAAGGTCGTGGACCAGTGGGTTGCTAGGGCTCTGTTTGGTTATGTTAGTATAACCATTCCATGGAGTTTCCTCTTTCCTCTTTTCCCGATATGAATTGAGACGGGAGAAACGTACCTCGCGCCATACAAACTATCACTATCACTCCAAGTCTCAAACGCCTCCTCGCCGTCTAAAAACACTATCTGGATACCCATGTCCATATCCACGTCCCCGCCCTCTCCTAACGCACTCATCTCCTCGTACATCCGCGTTATATGAGGGTCTAGCACGCTGGCTACATACATCAACATAGCGCACGGCGCCGCACTATCCGTCGCCCCGATAAACCCATCCGGATGCAATTTACTGTCATAGTGCGCAACGAGCGTGAGCAAGTTCGATTGTCCCGGTGCAACCCAAGGTGGTTCTCGGCGCGCGATGAGGTTGGCGAAGGGGAGAGGTGTGCTGGATGTGGGGGTCACAGAGGTGCTGTTTTGCCAGGTTAGGTTCCAGGCTGGTAACTCCTTTGTGAAGTAGGCGTAGAGGTGGTGTTGCGCGAGGGTTTGGCCAGGGGTGCCGGGGACGCGCGGGATGAGCAATGGGGAGAGGAGGGAGCTGTCTTTTGCGGAGAGGGTGTTGTTGGGGGAGGGGAGGGCTCGGAGGAAGGCGTCCGAGAGCGGTTTGTAGGCGCGTGTTGGGGTGAGGGTGAGGAGGAGGGGGAGGAGCGTGGCGGGTAGCGTGAGGAGCATCGTGGGTGGTGGGTGGTGGGAGTTGATGGAGGAGCGCGTGCGGTTCGTTGTGTTGTGTACTAGAGGGCGTGTCTGTACGTCGAATGCGGCGTGGAATCGCGTCGTCTCGCTCGCGGGCGCAGAACTGGGAGCTGTCGTCGAGGTCCCAACAAAGACTGAGTAACCGTACGAGATCGAAGCGCAATGGATATAGAGACGAACAGCTAAGATCCCTCCTTCCAAAAGTGCCAGCCTCTTTCTCGTTCTCCTCAATCCCCTTCCCGTTTCATCTCACTCCCGCAGTCTCGAGTGAAACGTTTGCGCAAGTTGGCCCTACTCCATCAGGCAAACACCGAAGAGCCATGAAGCGCGGAGCTGAGCCATCGTGTTGCGTTTCGTGCTTCAGTTTGGGTCCCTGACGGGGCGGAGGCGCGCGCATCCCTGTCGCGCACGTGAGCTGCACGTTCATCTTATCTGATTGATTGTGTGTCTGAATGGGGAAGTGCTGTGATGACGGAGGATCTAGCCGTTCTGGGCGGGGTCGATGGTATGCATGTCAGATGTCTAATCAAAGAGCTCAAGACGGTATGCGCTTAGATTTGGACTTGGTACAGTTGATATATACTCATGTTCATATGATCGCTACACGTCCAACGTCTCCGGTCAAGTAAATACTACCCTACAACTTCGCCTTTCCCCCCTCACACTTCACCAACGCCCTCCCGTTCGTAAGCACCGTCTTCCCGCCCTCAACCTTGACCACAAACCTCACCTCCTCGAACCCATCCTGATCGCGATCCCCCGTCCTCCACATCTCCGTAATCAGTTTATCACCCGGCTTGACCGGCGCCGCGAACCTCGCCTGGAACTCCTTGAGGTTCTCAGGCTTGGATGCACCGAACGCCTTCAGGATAGCGTGGGCAGACATGTTCCACGAGAAGAGGCCGTGGATGATGGGGCCGCCGAAACCCATTTTCTTGCCCGGCTCCGGGTCCGCGTGGAGGGGGTTGTAATCGCCGTTTAGGCGGTAGAGGTGGGCGGTTTCCATGGTGGTTTGGTGGATGTGTGTGCTATCGGAGGCGCGGGACGGAGGGGGGTAGTTTGGTTGTTTGGGGCCTGTTGTGTGTTAGTCTTGTGTTATACAATGGTACCTGCTCAATCGCGAGCACGGCAAGGGTCAAGGAGAAGGGAAAGACGTACCCTTCGGACCACCCCAACCACCCTGACCAACATAGAAGCCACTGCCAACAGCCCTGCTGTACGTCTCCCCCGTCTTCGCATCAACGAGCCTGTTCTCCGTTTCGACAACGGTGGCCTTGCCCTTGTCGTATACGCCCAGCACCTTGCTCCTGATCTCGAACTTGCGGCCTTCACTGCTCACGGGCAGTGGCTTGAAGAATTGTATCTTGCGCTCGCCGTCGAGGACGTGCTTGGTGTCGAACTTGGGGACGCCTTCGATGGGCTCGGCATTGCTGCGCGCGTAGAAGTCGATGACTTCTTGGTCCGTGTGCTTGAAGGGGAGGATGATGGGATAGGTTGGGAAGGCCGCGAAGGATGGGTGCAGTTCCTGAGGGTGGTGTTAGAGGTGTTGGATAGCTTGGGGGACTGCGCTTGGGATGGATGTTGGGGATGTGTGGAAAACGATGGATTGACTTACGTAGAGGAAGTGCAGCTCATCCGGGTAGGTTGCGCCAATGCTGTTTGCGAAGAGCAGGAGATCGCGCTTGAGCCAGGAAACCTCATACGAGGGAAACTCGAAGCCGACGCCGGGACCTAGTTCTTTGCCCATGATGAAGTCGGTGATGGTTACACAATGTGTTAGGTCTAGAAGATTGTGATTGAGGATGCGCAACTACAATGCTTGAATCAAAGAAAAAGAAGCTCAAGTGTTGTCGTAAGCTTCAAGGTTCGCAGCGGGGCGGTAATCGCGACGCGGAGCTGAAGTTTGAGCCGAGGTACGATTCGTTCATCCATGGTCAAGACGAGAAACCCCCCAAGTGGATTAGTATACATCAACCCTGTTCAAAGTAGATGAAAAAGAGTCTTGGAATCCGGCGCCGATGTCGGTATGGATAAGACTTTTACCTCGTTGTGGGACCATGTTAATGTTGTAAACATCGCATTAGTCTATCTACAGTGTCGATGCCTCATTCAGAAGCCAATATTAAGATGGCACGACTCTTGTCATGCCACCATGCAGATCTAGACAGTATACATGTGATCCTTCCCATCCCTATCATCCATCGTAAATGTTCGTGTACCACGACTCCCACAACCCTGCGGTCGGCAAAGTGGGGCCACTGTCCCATACGCCAAGTGTGAAATAATGCAACCTTTTGAGTCTAAGCTGAATCATGGAGATGACTCCCGCAAATGCTCAGAATGCAAGCGAAGGAAGAAATGAAGTTGTGGTGGGTATAATGCGGCAGACAAGGCGTCTACTGCTTGACTTCGTAGGAGCGGCGGAACATGCCGTCGACGCCGGTGAGGTAGTAGGTGCCGGGAACGATGGTGTCAACGCTTCCCTTGGGGGTGAAGTCCTTCTGGAGGTGAGCCTGCTCACGGAGGTTGCACATCTGGCAGAAATGTTAGTGGGATGTTCTGTAGCAATCTAGAATTCGAAGACTTACCTCGTCGTAAACCTCAGGGGCGACTACACGCCTCTTCTCGAGACGGTTTTGGATGTCAAGCTGCTTAGCAATGTTCTCGGTGCTACCCTTGACGGTGAAGGAGAACAGAGACGAGGCCAGACCACTTCCGTAGCTGAACATGCCAATGCGCTTGCCCTCAAGGTCCTGGCTGCTGATGTTGGCGAGCAAGCTGCACAAGCTACCGTAGACACTGCCGCAGTACATGTTACCGCACTGGGTCGGGACCTGGATGCTGGGCTGGACGCGAGCCGCATAGCGCTTCTTAGCGAGACCCATGAAGGTCTTCTCTACGGTCTTGTCGCTGACAGAGGTGGCGTAGTCCATGTCGCGAAGCTCAGCGGGGACCTCGGCGAAGATGGGGTTGGAGGGGTTGGCGAGGTAGTCGTTGTAGAGCAGACGCGCGTACGACTTAGCGACGAGCTTGCAGGTTGGTGCGTGGAAGGCCATGTAGTCGAAGCGGTCGAGAGCAGTCTCGAGCTCGCTGCTGCCATTTACGCCGTTTCCATTTTGTTGCGACTTGAGAGTCTTCTCGCGCTCGTTGTAGGCCTTGTAGCAGGCGTCGACAGCCTCGGTGTAGCAGCGGACGGAGAAGTGGCCGTCGACGACGGGGTACTCGCTGGTGAAGTCGGGCTTGTAGAAGTCGTAGGCGTGCCTGATGTAGGAGCCGCGCTGGCCAGCGTCCATGACAATGGGCGCGTTGGGGCCAATGAGCATGGCGACACATCCAGCGCCACCAGTCGGGCGAGCATTGCCCTTCTTGTACAGCGCAATGTCTCCAGCGACCACGACGGCGTCACGGCCGTCCCAGGCCGACGACTCCATCCAGTTGACGGAGTTGAAGAGGGCGTTGGTTCCTCCGTAGCAGGCGTTGACAGTGTCAACACCCTCGATGTTGTAGTTGCCAGACTCCTCGAAGAGCTGCATGAGCACAGACTTGACCGACTTGGACTTGTCGAGCAGAGTCTCGGTGCCGACTTCGAGGCGGCCAATGGTCTTGGGGTCGACATTGTATTTCTTGAAGAGCGAGGTGACGGTGGTCAGGGCGAGCGAGTAGATGTCTGGGTTGAGCACCTGTCAGTTCCTCTTCGGGGTACACGGGGTCGCGCGAGCAGAAAATCTTGGACTCACCCTCACGGTCGTCGCAGAAGGACATCTTGGTCTGGCCGAGGCCAATGGTGTATTTGCCCTGAGAGACGCCATCGAACTTCTCGAGCTCGGCCTGGTCAACGCACTGTGGGCAAGTTGTTAGTGCGTGTTGGTGTAGAGGGCGTAGTTGCAGCGGGCGCATGTCCATTGGGACAGCGACACCGCCCACGACAGCAACAACGTACCTGGCTGGGGAAGTAAAGCTCAATGGCCTTGATACCGATGTTGGAGGGACGAGCAGCCATGTTTGCAGGAGTGTATCGTGTTGTGTGAGGAGCAGAAAGGGAGTGCGTTGGCGAGGGAGGGGAGTTCACCGCCTTAAGTACTTGACGAGTAAATCCTACGCGACAATGGCAAGGTGCAGTTTAGTAGCGGCAATCAGTTTCGTGGCAATGCTAGCACGCCGTGGGTACAGGGCTCCAAAGGGGACAAGTAACGGGTTTTGTGCAGACCTAGCACTCAACAATCCTAACAGCGGCCCACGCGCTCCCAGTGTTGTGTCTGCTAGTCCCTGAGATTTTCGGTACATTCTTCTCGGGGCATTCAGGGTCTGGCTGCGAGGCCGGCGGCATGGCGGGGCATTCGTCTGGCGAAAAAGAAACGCCTGCATGCCGCCTGCCTCGCTTCGTCCCAGCTGCATGCTCTGCGAACCTATATCTTCACTTCACTTCATCGCGCCCCCAGCATCGTGAGTTGGCCCTTTTCCACCGGGCGGAGGACGTACTCCCTCGACGACCTATCGCCGTGCTCCTTGGCATGCAGGGATTTACTAGCTAGTCAGGAACCGTCAGCCCATCACAACAAGTCCCCCCTAGCAACCTCATCCGCGATACTCGACAAATATGGCTACCTACCCTCCAGCCAGAACACAGCCTCCACAGCATGCGTAATGCCGCGTCACTATGCTGCGGTATCTGTGTTGGATGAAGGATGGCAATATCTGACAACATCGGACGAGAAGGCCGTCATTGCTTTGGACCCGAGTTGCCCATTGTGCTGAGGGCATCACACATCAGTAGAACTCGGCCGAAAATGAGGGCATTCGCGTTTAGCCAGACTGCTGCCTAGATTCCCGCGGTCGCTATCTACGACCTACTTGGTGGGCGGGATGATTTTGATAGGTAGTAATCCACCGAGATCACTTGGCTTCTTCTATGGAAGGTGGTATCGTAAACGCATATAAACTCCAAGTTCAGCTTACAGTCGTGTTCTCAGACGATCAAT